TCATCAAGGAGTCTGTCTGTGATAAGCTTGCAGAAGGTAAGATCCTGAATGTCAGCCAGCATGACTTCATCGCGAGCAGGTCTTGCCTTACCCACCTCATCTCCTTCTATGACCAGGTAACTCACCACCTGGACACAAGAGAACAGGTTGACATTGTATCCCTTGACTTCCAAAAGGCCTTTGAGCTAGTATCCTACAATGTCCTTGCGAGAAAATTGGAGGATTGTGGGCTTAACTCTGAGACAGTCAGGTGTGTGAGAAACTGGCTGCAGGATAGGACGACACCAAGTTATGGGGGAGTGTGGCCACGCTTGAAGATTGCCTGTAGTTACAGGCAGACCTAGACAGGCTGGCAAGTTGGGCTGATTGGAACCCAATGAAGTTCAATGTTGAGAAATGTAAAGTGCTCCACCTCGGGATGAGCAACCCCCAACACACCTACAGACTTGGCAGCACCAAACTGTCTAGCACCATGAATGAAAGGGACCTGAGGGTAATAATAGACCACAGTATGAATGAGCCAGCAGTGTGATGCTGTAGCCAGGAGGGCAAATAATACCCTGGCGTGCATTAATCGATTCATCTCCAGCAAAACCAAGGAGGTGATTCTTCCGCTCCACTCAGCACTGGTGAGACCGCAGCTGGAGGACTGCATCCAGTTCTGGGCACCGCACTTCAACGAGGACGTGGACAAGCTTAAGAGAGTCCAAAGAAGAGCCACCCATATGATCAGAGTCTTAAAAGGCATGCCATACGAGGAAAGGCTGAGGGATCTGGGACTCTTCAGCCTGAGGAAACAAAGGCTGAGGGGGACCTGGTAGCAGCTTACTGCTACATTAGGGGAGGACATCAAGGGCTCAGTGAGCAACTGTTCACCAGGGCACCCGAGGGGAAAACCAGGAGTAATGGCCACAAACTCCTGGAAGATCGATTCAGGCTCAACATTAGGAAGAAACTTCTTCACAGTCAAGGTCTCCAGACTGTGGAATAAGCTCCCTCCAGAGGTGGTGCAATCTCTTACCCTGGAGATCTTTACCTTGCTGGGGTCGCCTGACCCCCAGTTATCATTCCTGCTTGGTGCAGGGGGCTGGACCCGATGATCGTCCAAGGTCCCTTCCGGTCTTACGATCTATGAAAGGTATCATGGCAGGCAACAGCTATTCTTCAGTTCCCTTGAATCTTTTTATTCAGGGAATTCAGGTGAGGATATTTTCTAAAGAGTATTTTTTTTTATATTAACAAATAATTTGACCAGTCCCATCTATATATGGCATGGCTTTAATGCAGCACCTGGAATTGGACGTATCAATGCATTTATCTTTGAAGAATTACTGAACTGGATGCCAAATCCCAGGTCATGCATTTTTGGGGGATATCTGTAATTTGTGGAGAGGCTTCTGCAGTGAGGTGGTGGAAGTGCTTGTATGGGAGGAGCCACATTCAGGTACCAGAGACATGGGATGTTAAATCAACACTGAGCTGTTTCAAGTGCCACTTGTTTCCTTCAGATGCTCAGAGGAGCATGTAATAGTGGTGCTTTCTTGCCCAGCCTGCAGTCTGTGCTTCTTGTTGCCCGTGTACTTTGGAAAGGCAGAAAAGCTGTGAAACTCTTCCATGGTGCAGCAAGCCTCGATTTGGACAAGATGGCTCATTGATTTTGATGGGGATGATTGCACTGTACATCCAAGGGTTATGTCTGCTCCTTTTAATGCTCGTGGTAATTTCATCTCCTTTGCAATCATTCCTCTTGGCCTGGCAGATCCAGTACAGCTACAGGAGTGCAAATCAGGGTCTCTGCTGCTTTGTCTGCCATTGAATCACCTGACATCCACACTCTAATTGCGGCATCTCTCTTTGGGGAGGTGATGCAGATGGCTGAGAGGGCACTTCCTATGATTACTTTGATGAATAAGTTGAGGATGCTCGGTCTGTTATTAACGGGGAGGGAATAGAACTGCAGTCCAGTTCTTTTGGTTGTATGGTCCCTTTCCCCAGTATAGGTGGGCTGTAAGAGACGAAATTGGATAAACCAATCTCCTGTCTGTGGCTAATAAACCTCGTGGCGGCCCCAGGAATGGCGCTGGGAGAGAAGTGTACATGTCCGCTCCCTGCAAAGGGAGATGGCAGGGCTGTTGAGAGGAGTGTCTCCCACTCCAGAGACCCAGCAGACTGGGTAAGAAGGAGCATGTCTCCAGATGCAGAGGAACTGTGTTCATGGGGCACGGAGCCACATTTTGCTGGTGTGAGAGCCCTCAGACTGTTCTAGGATCTGGATATTTTGTATGATAACTGGCTTTGCTGTTGTTTCATCCTTGCTCTTCCACCCACCTTTGTCTCATGCAGTCTGTACCTTGTTGTGATGGATTCTAAACTTTATGGGGCAGGGCCTTCACCTGAGCATGGTCCTAGCCCATGAGGCCTTCCCAAGGCACTGGCAGAGTGCAGGGAAGTAGCACAGTCCATCTGCTTTGAATCCGCTGCACCTGCTACATGTGTCATGTTGAGACTTACCCTGGTGTCTAAGGACTCCTGTTTGTACCTTCTCAAAGGTGTCAGCCTCAGAAACCCCATGCTGGTGTGAATGATGCACATGTACTGTGTGAAGAACTGCTGGTACCTGTTGATCCTCTCCACCAGAAATGCAGGTGTAATGTGCACTTGGCTCCTCATGCTCCGTTCAGTAACTTTTCATTCAGCTGCCATAACAGATGGGGCTCTGGGAGTAGGGACGCCAAGCTACAGAACGGGTGGATCAACACAGAGGTGCATTCCTTCATTTTAATGTTTTGGTATCAACAAGGTCCAGGTTGGCCCCAAAACTGAACAAGTCAGGTGGGGGTCTTGGAGGGTTATTGCTCATTGTCCTTCTCTGCTTTCTGTTTCTGTAACCCTTGGTTTGTCTCTTCACAGCCTGTGGAGGCAACAGATGATGCCTTCTGGGACCAGTTTTGGGCAGACACAGCCACTTCGGTGCAGGATGTCTTTGCCCTTGTACCAGCTGCTGAAATCCGAGCAGTGAGGGAAGAATCACCTTCAAACTTGGCTACCCTGTGCTATAAGGTAAGGTGCCTTCTTTTCTCCTGGAGTGAGATTAATCTTCACACAAAGAACCGTAATGAGGCTTGTGCCCCGCAGAAGTCCCACCACTTGAGCAGCTTGTTGCACAGGGAAGAATTTCCTCCCCCTGAAGAGCAAGGGGCCCCTTGCTCATAGGTTTCTATTAGGTGGTATTGCAGGTGCCTTCTCAGTGCTGCTGTCTGTGATTAACAATATCGCATGTACTCGCTAGCTCTTGAGTTGGTATTTGTGACTGATGATGGCCACATAAACAAATGGGTGGAGCTGAAATGCTCGGTGCCTTGCGGGGCAAGTACAGCAGGAATCAAAGGTCTTCCAAATGCCTTTCCCTACCCTCCTGCTGCACTCCTCTTTAGGCTGGCTTGTCCCTTTATCCTCCTGATGTAGAATGGCAGATCCCTTTTCTGCCCTGCAGTGCAAGGGTGGTTTGCATCTGTTTCCTGTCTTGGTTTACCACAAACCACAATCGGCTTCTGATCAGCTTAGAACTCTTCTCTACTAGGCTCCAATGCCCCCAGCCCTTGGTTGACATGTAGGCTGCCTGCTTGTTGGAGGTCATGGCATGCAGTGTATAAGTGCTGCGTGTCCTTGATGGAGCCTCTCCATCAGAGTATCTTATTGCTCCTTCATGTTCACCATCTGCCTCAGCTCTTCTAGTATAGCTCGAATAATACCAGCTATGGTGTTGCTCACCCTAAAATCCTCATAGATGCATAATTATGAGAAAGTCTTAAGCTTTTTTCCTTCTCTTCTGCCACTGTCTGTTTGGCATTACCATGTCCCTGGATGCTAGTCTTTCAACTTTGCCCTTTTAGGGGATTGAACCCAAGGGACATCTACTTGCATTTCTACTTGCCAGAGCTGCCAAGCTGTCAGGTCAGGAGGATGTGGCTGGCTGTGGCTGTGTAGGGAACAGGCTGTTCAGCAAGACTTAGGAAGGCATTGGTACAAATAATGCTTCAGGCTCTTTCTGCCCTGTGATTTTCAGGCATGCAAACAGCCTTGCTGAGAAATCATAGAGCTTACATTTCCTAGCATTGTATTTGAGAACCTTTTTCCACCATGCCTATTCCTCCACAGTATTATCACTGTAGGTAGACCATAGATTTTTTGAGAGCACTATCCCAGCCCACTTCACCTCGTTCCCCATAAAGCAATTGTACAGTAGTCATCTACCCATTAGAAAGTGCCATGAGAGACCTGATTGCTGCAGGGTTATCCTTCCAGCTGGCCTTAAGCACAGTTAGATACTGAGTATGAATGGGAGCAATGTGCAACAGCTTAGATTTTTGTGGGCTGTAGCACAATTCAGGACCACAGGTTATTCCTATTGCAGCAATTCTTAGCAATGGGCTTGCTGGAGTTTGCATCACTGCAGTGGAGAGAAATTGCTATAATGCAGGTGCAGTGTCATTTGTAAGCATGTGTGGTTTGGACTCGGTCTGTTCCCACTATACTGAGCTGTAACTGTACCTGGAATATGCACAAGCTTAATCCTAAGGTAGAGTATGGCCAGGTCCCTTGATAGCACAGACAGCACTTAAATACCCATTAAGGCAGTGACACGGTGACCAAGTCAGTGAATTACATTGTCTATTACAAAAGTCAGTAGAAAGGCGCCACCTATTAATTGGAAAGTTAGAAGTCAGGTCTTTGAAAACATCCTGGCCTCCACTGATTTGTGCTCAGGGCATGAGGAGTAAGTAGAACAGGAGCAGATGTAAGGGGTAAATGCTTCTTTTTCTGTCTTGCAAATCAAATGCATAGCCTGTTGCCCATGAGAAGCTGCTATGGCTGTTGGGCAAGGTGAGTGTCCCCACTCCAGAGCAATGCAGGTGACACCAGTAGTTCCTACCCCCTTGTTGGAAGAGAGGCCAAACACTGGACAGGCCATGGTGATGTAACTCCTCTCAGCCAAGGGGCATTGTCTCCAGGTCAGTACTAAGACATGTGTATGGGGTGGAGAAAGCCCATGCTATACGTGTTCTGCAAAACTGGAAGACTTCAAAGTCTTCTGATCCAGCTCTACTTTCACTTCTTCAGTAGGGGGAAGAAGAGGAGGAAGCATATGGCTTGGAGATCTGTATTTCCCAATAAGAAAGCAGTCTCTTACTCTCTGGGAAAGAAGCCATCTCTCTGGATGGACCAAGGCCCCATTGGGCTAGGTGCTGTGGCCGTGGCTTCTAATTGTTACATCCATACAAATCATTTAATAATAGCTGAGAGTCTCTTTATTTCTACATCCCCTAAAAGGGAGGTGCCATCGGTCATCACAGAAGCGTGACGTAATGAAGAGAGATCTTGCTAAATGATAATGGAACCAAAGGCTACTTGTAGCTCTGCGGTAGGGTTCACATGTCTGTAGCCTGTGGGATGCCAGGATCGTGCTACTTTGCTTTGTTTTGTTTCCATCAGGCTGTGGAGAAGCTGGTTCAGGGAGCGGAGAGTGGCTGCCACGCAGAAAAGGAGAGGCAAATCGTTTTGAACTGCAGTCGGCTGCTCACCCGCATCCTGCCATACATCTTTGAAGATCCTGACTGGAGAGGCTTCTTCTGGTCGACTGTTCCTGGGGCTGGACGAGGAGGGGTCTGTGTCTGTTGACTCATGTCATTGTTGGGCTAGGGATGGAGGGAGGGAGATGTTGCAGGAAGCAAAGACCATGTGGCACCGAAAAAAGATCAGTTAGGAGCAACTTTGTTTCAGTTGGTTGAACCATTGGTTCTCAACCTTTTTAGACTCAGGGTACTCCTTGGAAAATGCTGGCTCTTAGCTTCAACTTGTTTTGGGGTTTTTTGCTATGGTAAATAATAGAGCAGTTTTTCTGTTCCAGAGATCTCAGACAGATCACAGCCGGTCAGAGTGTTTCAGTGCTATGGATTCCCATTTGAAATCTCTGGGTTTACCTTGTGAATCACGTTTGCACACCTAATGGTGCTGTTATCCATACACAAAGTTGCTGTGGTACCCTGGTTGAGAATCACTGGGTTGAATCTTGTGGGAAGCTTCTTGAAAGATGCAGAGTGGGTCTAGCTGCCTCCATACTGAGTGTGCTGGGATGGGCTGAAAGCAAGTGTACAGTCCTTCTTGGCACCACCGTCATTGTTTGCTGCTTCTCCCTGAAGTTGCTTTGTTCAGCACAGGCTGGTGTGTCTATTGGAGTGTTTCAGTCACTTGGCTTTTGTGGGTAAGGCCTTGCCTGCTCAAGGTGGTTGATCCAATATAACATCAAATGTGAATTTAAACAAATACAAGTATTCTGGTGCATAAAGCTTGGGTGGAACCTCATATTTTAGTTTACCAGTGGCTAAAGCCACTCAGTAACCAAATTAAACTGAAATAATATTATGACAGAGCTGTGTGCAGAGAAGCTCTATGAGTTGTAATGCAGTGGCCCTTTCCTGATTGGAGCTTTACTGCTTTTGAGCTGGGCATGTGTGACCCTGTAGTTGGAAATTAGGAAGTACTCTAATTAGGTTGTATTCCTGGTTCCGCTACTAACTGGGGTAACCTTAGGTGAGTGACAATGCTGCTGCATTTGCATTGGCACGGGGATTGTGATGACATGGGGATAGTGATGACACTTGCTATGTCACATTTTGTGGTGTCAAGGTGGAAGGGTGTAAAACGTTGTAGGATTCTTGGCTGCAATATTATTGCTGTTCCTGTACATAACAGCATAGCAGCAGGGGTGCATTGATTTGCCTACTTGCTAGAACAGCAGGTGGTCCTTTAATACAGTAGCAGTGTTCTCCTTGGAGATGCTGGGTCTGCAGTCTGGCACTTCTGGGCTTTGTGCTGCTGACTGCAGCTGTATCCCCTCTACAGTAGTGCCCAGCAGTGCCTTTCATGGAGGCTTAGTGGAGTGTCAGAGAGGGGGTTTGGAACAGCAAGAGCCTTCATCTATTTGAATTAAAAAGGCCATGGGATAGCAAGAGCCTTGAGCTGTCTCAATCTCTCACTTCTAATTTATCTTACCTGAGCCCATTTTAAAGGGAAATGCTGGCAGGCAGGGAGAGGGGACTTGGGTACTTTTTTCTCACTGTGATTGGACAGGCCTCCATCCTGGGGGAAAGCTGTGTGGGAGCACAGTGTGTGAGCAGCCTTGTTTGGTGGAAGGACAGTGCACTGTTTTGTGCTTGGACACAGTCTGGCTGTTGTTAGACACTGAATGCGTACCTCGCTTGGCAGCTGTGTAGGCCAGTGGTTATTGGACTCAAAGGACACTCTAGCCTGTTAGGGTGGTTAGGGAATGGCAGGCACTGATGGTACCATTTCAGTTCCTGGTCCATTTGTCCTGAGCTCATGCATCATGAATGCTGATTTGGGCTTTACCAATGAGTCAAGGCCCCTAAATGGTGCATGAGCTGACTTTGAATAAAGCTGGCTGCACTGTGAGGCAGGAGATCCATGTGCAGAGCCTACAAGCAGTGGGGAAGCCAGCTGTTGGATCATCACATCCATACCTTGCCCACACATATGGGAGCTGCTGTGTTGCACTCTGATAGGTGGCTCTGTTCTTTGAACTTGAGCATAAGTTGCAGGGATGCTTAGCTCACTAACAGAGAGGAAAGAAGGTACAACTGAAAGCATCCCCTGCTGGTTTTGTTCTCAAGGTGGCAGCTTTCCATCAGGTGCAAAGTGGGGAGGAGTCCTGGTACCTGAACCCTAGAATGCATTTCCTGGCTGGGTTTCCTACCTGGAAGGGACTGGCCTATAGGTGTGTGTGTGGGTGAGGGTGAATGGCAGATCCCAATTTGGCGAGGCTGGGATCAGAAGTAAGGGTGATCCTTTGCAGCGGTAGATAATGGATATACATCCTGGGGCATTCTCAGTGTGGTGGAATGGGGAAGAAGAGAGACCTCGGTTCATTAAACATGATAAATATCCTCTTAGGGACTTTTTAGAGAATGAAGCACCTTCCCCATGGTGACAAGGATCTGCTGGTTCCTTATGTTCTCTCTGAATCGCCTGACTGTAGCTGGTGCCGGCAGGACTGATATCCCCTGCACGCAGGTGATGCGTCTGCTAGCTCAGGCTACACTGGTGCAGATCATCCTTTTTATACATAATCCCTCTTGACCTCGAGGCATCTCTGATTTCAAAGCAAAAGCATCTTTGCTGCCTTCCAGCTGCCCCCACCACTCCCTGCCCCGTGGGAACCTTTCATTGGTCTGTGATGTTGCACAAGGAGACGTCAGCACAGTGCAGATGATCCTCTCCGTTCAGCTGCAATGGAGCGGCTGTGTCATGCACATGCTGAAAAAGGCCAGGCTGTTGCAGAGATGCTCCTCGCCCTCTCCTGGCAGAAGGCTGCAGTTAGCTGTGGTGGGGAAGGCGTGATGCTTATGGGAGGGAGTGGAGAGGTTCCCCTGGAAACGGATGCAGCGGAGTAACCATGCGTGACAAGCATTGGCTTCTGGATTCGCTGGGGTTGGGGAGAGCAAGATCCACTCTGCTGCTAGCAGTCAGTCTGCTATGGCTGGCTGGGGGCACCTGCCTCCCTTCCTCTCCCCAGCTCTGGGTAGCACATGCCAGCGTTGGAAACCTTAATTCAGTTTTATCTTAAGTTAATTAAGTATTATCTGGTGCTGCCTGAGTGATACCAGTCCCCCCTGCATCAGACTCCATCTCAGTCGCCCAGCTGGTCATGGTGGGGGGACACCAGGCCCTCTCCCATCTCACGTGCCCTCCTCCTGGTTCCTTCCTCCAGGGTCAGTATCAGTTGTGCAGCCTCAGTAGGACAAACATCTCCCTGACAATTTCTGGGGGGGCCCAGTGAGACTATTTGCATCTCCCTCTGCATCTGTTGTCCTCAAGTCCTCTTCCCTCTGAAACCTATGGGTTCTCATTGACACTGTTCCCTCTCCCATTACGGTATCACCTGCCTGGTCTCAAGCAGGGGTGGTGTCTCCCTTTTAATAGGCGGGTTGTTTCTTTTCCCTGTTTCTCTGCTTTCCCCAGATCTCTGTCTCCTGTCTGCTGCAGTGTGTTTAATGTTACTGTGTAGTGCCTTGCAGGCCTGCACTGTAACTTTTCTATTTTGTTTGGCCTTTTTAGGGGGATGAAGACGATGAAAATGCCCGGCCACTTGCTGAATCATTGCTGCTGGCAATTGCAGACCTGCTTTTCTGTCCAGATTTCACCGTCCAGAGTCACCGGAAGAGCACTGTGGTAAGTCAAGCGAGCCTATGTTTGGCTTCAGCTGGCTGAGCCAGCGGCTTAGCTTTCATTCAGCTTCAAAAACATCCACCATTCCCGTGTACCAGTCCAGGATGCACATTTCCATCTTGTCCACCCTGGTAGAAGCTTAGTAGTTTAGTCCTTACCTTGTTGCAAAAAAGTGCTTGGTTAGTATCATGAATGAAGAGACTTTGAGAGCCAAGCAAAGTGTCTTAAGTAGACAGAAAGAATCAGAACTTGTGGTAGAGGTGATATCTTATATTAGATCAACTAGATTTTTTGCAAAAAATGTCTTTAATTAAGTAGACAGATCAACTTGGCTATTCTGTCACCAGCTCCTGCTTTGTCGGGAGGGGCAGGCTAGGAACATACTGCTCAGGAACATCAATCCTTCTCTAGTTTCTTGCCCTGTGGTCAGCGATATGTTGGTTATAACCAAGTCTCACTGTGCAGTGAAATCAGAAGACAGACGAGGAGTTCTGATTTTGCCTTCCTAAAAAGACAGGTGCTCACTGAAGTTCACTGCTTCACATATTTTTTGGACTTTTGGTGACAAAAATTTCCTGATGATTGCAGAGAGGTAAAGCAGACTTTCGTAACTCTGTTCCCCAAGTCTGTGTGGAGTTCCGTTACTTATAGTTTCATAGTTAGTAGGGTTGGAAGGGACCTGAGCAAATCATTGAGTCCGACCCCCTGCCATGGCAGGAAAGAGTACTGGGGTCTAACGACCCCAGCAAGGTGATTGTCAAGCCTTGTCTTAAAGTCCTCCGGGTTGGAGCCAGCACCACTTCTCTTGGAAGTTGGTTCCAGATCCTAGCCACCCTGACAGTGAAGTAGCGCCTCCTGATGTCTAGTCTGAATCTACCCTCTGCCAGCTTGTGACCGTTATTCCTGGTCACTCCTGGCAGTGCTTGGGGGAACAGGGACTCCCCCAGTGCCTGCTGATCCCCCCTGACTAGTTTGTAACAGGCCAC